AGTAATTTTATATAAAAACATATAACATTCATACAATATTCATTTATATTAGAAATTTTCTAACCATGATGACAAACTCAATGAGTAGTGAGCGATCTCAGCCCCTCATCGCTATACATAATAAAATGCGGTAACCTAGTAGTGGGCGAGCGAAAGCCCCCCGCCCTCAGCCCCTACCACCACCTAAACAGTGGTCACATCTTTATTAATACTATATTTCTCTTTCTTCTCGCCAGACATGTCGTGTGGGCCGACATCGACGCCCACTTTCTCGCCCCTGAAGATCCTCTGCATCTCTTCCAGTGACCGGCCTTTGGTCTCCGGCACGAAGAGCACCGTAAAGAGTACACTACCGGCCGATATGCCGGCGAACATCCAAAACGCTCCGTACTTATTGAGCCCCTTCTGGATGGCCTCAAACTGTTTGGTCACAATGAAGGCGCACAACCAGTTGAAGGCTGTGCCGCACGCGCTCACCACTCCCATCGCGAACCCGGGCGTGATCTCCGCCACTATCATCCACGGTATGGGTCCGAAGCCGATACTGAACGACACGACGAACACCACCAGACACACCACCGGCAGCCAACCCATGCCCGCCGAGTCCGCGTAGTAGTAGTAGCCGAGCACTCCCAGAGTGACCACATGGCCCACACCCGACGCTATCAATAGGATCTTACGGCCCAAGCGGTCGATGATTAGGCCGCCGCTGATGGTGGCGGCGACCATAGCCGAGTTGACTATACACGTGGCCACCATTGGATCCATGGAAGAGCCCGACGCCTCGAAGATGGAGTTCATGTTGAATAGTACGGCATTAATGCCGGAAAATTGTTGACAAAACATGAGTACATTGGCTATAATGAAGGGTTTGTAGACATCGGGCCGTTTAAACGCCGCCATCGAGAAGCCGGACGACTCGGCCTTCGACTTCTCGGCCCTGTCCTGCAGTTCCTTCAGCTCGCCCTCGATGTCCGAGTCGTCTGTCCGCAGCCGTCGCAGCGCCGACACCACTTGCGACGATCGGCCGTATTTATTCATGAGCCAACTTGGTGATTCCGGCATGAATATCATCCCGATCGACATTATCACCGCCGGAATTAGTCCGATGATACACAGCCAGCGCCAGCCCAGCGCCAGACCAAACAGATCCACGTATACGATGCCGATGGTGACAAAGATCTTGGTGATTGTATAAAGTTTTTGTTTGTTAATTATGATCATATTGAATAAAAATTATTGTTTTATTACTTGAAATCCTGTACCCAAAAGGCCCCGGATTTTCGGTGTGGATATCTGTATGCAATAAGTGGGCGCCACTCCTGGTATGCCGGAGGGGGACATTATGGTAAAGTATGAACAGTTAGTTAAGTGCTTTACGTTTTTGGTTTATGTAGTAAATAATTGTTTTTATATGATTTCTTACCACAACATATTCCCGATGCGAAACCAGTGATCACTCTACCGATGATTATCAATATAAAACTCTTGGCCACACTAAATCATATAATTATAAGCATGATTAGTTATTGTCTATCATATCAAGTTATTTTAATTACTAATCTATAGATCATAAAATATTTTTATTTAAATTTTAAATCCTAATTTTAATCTACAAATTTTATAAGTAAATTGTTTTTAAATGAATATTAACTATTAAAAGTACTAAAGTATAGGTGAAACTAAATATACGTATGCTATTTCTAAGAAAATAATTAATTAAAATAATGAAAAATAAATTATTTGTAATTAAATAATACTATAGATATCAGTTTCGTTGGAAATATTTTTAAAATGCAAATTTTGTTCATTGAATTTCTTTGTTTTACATACTTATTGTTAGTGTATTTAGTAAAAACTATTTACACATAAACCTACACATAATATAACTTTTCTCAGCAAAATATAATGAAAAATACTACTTTATATGCAAATAATATTTCATTGTATTTTAAAATGATACATTTTAAATTGAAAGTTATTTAAATAAATAAAATATATAATGAATTAAGCATAATGTTAATTACCAGATGAGTACCCATCCGACAACAAAAGGTGCGCCCAAACCGATTAAAACTTTTTTCATGCCTAACATTTGCAACAGTGGCCCTGAAATGTATTGTCAATTATCATTTAAATTAAATCCAAGTGTAATATTTGTAGAA